GAGAGCTGCGCTATAGACTTACCCCAAGAGGCCTGAGGATAGTAGTGCAGGCTAGGAGAGTTAGCCGGTGGTGCAGGCCCAGGGAAGCAGAGAGAGGTGAGGGCAGGGCCAGGACCAGAAGTGGTGCTCCTGGAGCCCAAGAAAGGGAATGAGTTTCTCTGGGTGAGAAGGGTCAGGAAGCAGTATTGGTTCCCCAGGTGTCTGGGGCCCTTAGACTAGGAATGGCGCAGGGCCCAAACTAGGAGTATAGAACGGCGAGGCGGGGGATGGAAGGGTGAATGTCGCTTAGGGAGTCCCGGCGCAGAGAGCTGCGCTATAGACTTACCCCAAGAGGCCTGAGGATAGTAGTCCCTATAAGTAATTTTTAAAGAAATACTACTTCAGAAATAAAACAGGATATAAGTGCTCTCAACTTAATGAATTAAGATAACAGTTTGGATTTTCTTTTTGCCCACAGGTAACTAAGTATTGTAAGTATTTGTATTAAGTATCCTAGGGTCATATTCTTATTTGAACATGAACATGATTTAAATGTACTTAATTGTAGAATACTTAGTCATTTCCCGATATCTGTGACTGCCTTATTGTTTTTCTTGCCTGCTTTTGATTAATTGCATTAAAGTATTTCTCTTTCTTGGAGTTCTTTCAGAAATTATTGAATAGATTCCTGACTTAACCTTTCTACAAGGCAACCTGAGAACTGAGACATTTAAATTACCTTCCACAGAGACAAACTAAGTGCTATTGGCTTTTAATGATCATGTGTCAAAGCAGGAACCCTTAATGCCAAAGATGTTTAAATAGACATTATAGATAACAGGTATTCCATCAGCTCCGTGTGTGTGTGTGTGTGTGTGTGTGTGTGTGTGTGTGTGTGTGAACTTTATTTTAGAATAACTGGACTGACACAAAAGTTACAAAACAGTTGAATGTGTTCTGGTATACTCTTCCCAGTTTCTCTTAAGGTTAACATGCTGCGTAACTATGGCGTGGTAGCTATTAAGAACAAAGAAACCAGCACTGGCGCCATTACTATGAACTAACATCCTGCCTTTATTTGGATTTCATTAAATTTTCCACTAATGCCCTTAATTCTACCAGAGAATCCAATCCGGATCTCACATTACGTGTAGTCAGCACTTTGTATTTTGCATGCCCGGGCTAAAAGAAATCATAGGTTATTCCTTATTACTTAAACTTTTCCAAAGTAACTTCAGAGAGACCTGGAATTCACACTTGTGAGGGTTAACTGAGGGTTTCAGTCTTTTTGTGGGGCTTTGTACCTCAATTCTTGTTTTCCAAGGCAGATAAAACAATTCATGAAAGTTGACGCTAGAATGCCTGACAGTCAGACCCATTCCAAGGGCTTCTAAACCCTGGCAGCTCCTCTGAGGAACTGGAGGCAATCTTTGGTTCTCTAGCTTTGGAGCAGAGACCTTGTGACTATCAGGGGTCCTGGTAAGAAAGTTGGACAAGAAGATAGTATTCTCTATAACAGTATTTTTTATTACAACATTTTAACAACCCTAAATAGTTTACAAAGAATTTTCACATCTATCTGATTTAATTTTTGAGACAGGGTCTTACTGTGTAGCTGCAGCTGGCCTAGAACTCTCTATGTAGACCATCTCAGGCTGACCTCAGCCTCATACTGATTCACCTGCCCCTGCCTCCCAAGTGCTGAGCTTAAAGGTATATGCCACCATACCAGGCAATTTAATTAATTTTTTAAAATCTGCATTTGAGGAATTATATTCAATATTTAGAGCACTCAGTATTTCAGTCCTTACTGGAGCAAATGAGCAATATTTGTCTCATTTAATTCAACTCTGAGGTACTACTGTTCTCAGGCTAGAGATGACAAAACTGAAAGATTGTTTTTTCCAATTGAAAAGGTCATACAGTTAATAAATGATATAGCAGAAATTCTAATGAGCTTTAATTCTCAAGTCCATGGGTCTAATAAAAAAGATTAAGCACCTTTGAAGTTGGAATGGCATTCTTTGACTCCAAGAAAGATAATCTATTCCTGATTGTTACTACCTGAATCTATCAAATAATTCTCCTATTCAACAAATACTTAAGTACTATATTGATTTTACTGTTCTAGATTATTTTGAAAATTTGATGCTGTTCAATTTTTTCCTGGGGGCAAGTGATAGCATTATTCATGAAAATTTAAGTAACTATGCCAACAAGTCAAAAGACTTGTCTAACAATGCATGATCAGCATAATGCCAGAAGGCTCGGAAATGTACTTGATTCCACATATAAGGGATTAAAAAAACTCCAATGTAAACATCAGGGCCTTGTTAGCTTTAGCAAGAAACCAAATTTCCAATATGTGACCTTAACTATTAGTTTCTTAGAACCATCAAAACATTCTGGAGTCTGTTTCCTTATTTAAGTGAAAGATAGTAAGTTTGGCATAATACCAGAAGAATATAGGATCAGAGTTGCAGAGACAGAAAAGATGGTTATAAACTATTTTAAAATAGAGTAAAATAAATAAATGAGATTATATAGGCAAAGTTATTATTATTAAGTTTACTAATCAAGCAGAGAGGTAATTTGAAGATTATTTTACCTATGGATCATGTTCCGGGTATACCAAACAGAAGGATAAGAAACCTTCAGGAGAGATGTATAATTATGGTTTAAATCCCATCCAGCTAAGGAACACCATTAATTTCCCACAATCACACCATCTGGATTCAGCATGAGTACCACCTTGAAGAGGAAAGTTTCCTGAAGCAATTGTGCATCACTTGAGTCTCCTAAAATATAATCTAGGAAGCCTTTCATGATCCAAGAGCTGTTGGTTTCTCCTGGATGGACTCTTGCTGTCAAAATCATGGCCTTCCGCTTTCTTGAGTCAGTGTTCTTCAAGGGAGTAGTGATAGTTAAAACATATACCATGCTCCTAGTAAGTGTGTGGCACAAGACGTGTATTTTACAAAACTTTGACCATACTGGATCACTGTTGATGCCCGAAAGATATACTTGAAGGTTGGTATAAGTGTGTGGATAACTATGAGCAAAGTAGCATGTATCTTTGTTGTGTGGAAATTGAAATGTCCATCTAAGAGAGAAAAAACGGCGTCCATTTTGCCCCAGATTGTTCTTATAATACTTGATTTGGTCTCCTATTCTCTGCCAGCCAATATTGTGAGCCTTGGCCTCTTTTTCAGAATTAGAAGAGTGGGCGCATACCATGATTATAAAGACTAGCAGGCTTGGTGAAGTTGACAATAGTGAATCTATAGGCTATTTCTGCTTGGGTATTGGTAACCTGGAAATAATACCATTGTGTGTGTTTATTTGTGAAGAGGTCTGGGCGTACAGTCAACTGGTATTCATAATCTGTCCTAGAACACAGAAAAGGAAGGGGAAAGCACATAAGAATGTGAGAATGACATTTCTGTTTAAGTGAGGAAAATTTTATTCTTATCTATTTTACCTAGTCACAGAAAACCTTTTGTGGGAGAAGCAATATTTATTTAGACAGTATCCAATACAAAGTAACTTCAAAAGATAAAAGTTCTGAAAATTTTTCTTATCTTGGATAAGAAACTGATCATATTCTAAATGTATAGCATTTGTGTTCCTTGTGATATGAGAGCATAGGTAAATGTAAATATTTAATAACATTTTATATATTTCAATACAACTACTCTCTAAAATAAATTATTGAGAAGTTATTGAAACTGAAGAAAAATGGTGTCTGGCTTTCAAATACATATTTTTTTTTATTTTATTTTTTGCTTTTTGAGGAATTCATACCAAGTACAATATTTACATCATCCTTACCGATCTTTCTCCAACTCCTCTTGTGCCCCCATTTCCTTTCAATTTCACAACCTCTTCTTCTTTATTATTTTTACATACAAACATGCATTTCTATTTTCTAATAATTCCAATTCTAGTGAAGTGAAATAACTATCACTGAGAGGTCTAAAAGTATAAATTAATATAGTTACATAGATTATAAAATTTGAACTCTTTAAGTATAAAGGCCATATGTGATAACAATTTGTACTCCATACTTAGTCACTGAAGTTGCTTAAATAAAGGCAAAAAACTTTTCACTGGAATACTACTTATTTACACAACAAGTTTTCCTGATTGTGACTTTTTTTCTCTACCAAGTAGCTTTTCAAAAATTCCCATGTGCATATGGTTATACTGACCTAGGAATAGGTTAATAATACATAAATGTAAACCCTTACTACCTCTAATGAACATTTATACTTCAGGAATTATAGTTAAGTAATGGATGCTAAAAACTTTAATGTACCTAATCAGAAAACAGTAAAGCTTTGATGGCCTAGTTCCTCTAATAAAAATAATTAAAACCTACACTTTGACTACCTTCTGTAGTTTACCACTGTCAAACCTTGCTTCAAACAAAGTTTTGTCACAGTCATCCACAGATTGCTTCAATGGTTTTCGGTTACCCCCAACTCGAGAATATACAAAACAGGGCTCTTTGTAAGCTGATGGGAGAAGACCAAATCCATGACAGTAAGATATCTAGATAATCTCATACATAACACATTTCTAAATAATCCGCAGATCAAAGAGAAACAGCACAGGTGTATTAAATAATATTTTGAATGGAATAGCAAAACACACAGTGCAACAACATTTGTAAGATGAAGGGAGAGCTGTGCTTAGGAGAAAATTCAGAGCTATAAATGCTTAAAAGTTTTAAAAACTAGATAAGGATTAAAATCAGAGACCAAATTCTGAATTTTGCTCTGGATGTGGAGCCCTGGGAAGGGCACCATTCTTATCCTTGCAACAACAAAAATAATGCTGAGAGAATTTACTTTTCTGGAACTTCTCAAAGAGCTAAAGTTACAGGACGAACGCCCAAATCCTTCCGAGGACAGCCGGCACATGAATACTAACTAGCTTACTCCGTCAAGATCACAGTAAGGAACATTCACTTGAAAACTAAGCCAGTTAGGGCTGGAGAGATAGCTCAGTGGTTAAAAGGGCATACCGCTCTTGTCAAGTACTGAGTTGGGCTCCCAGTACCCATGTTGGCTGAATCACAACCCCCGGTAACTCCAAGGGAATCTTTCTCTCCTTTGGGTACCTACATTTAGGTGCACATACCCACACAAAGGTACAGACATAATTTAAAAATAAAGTAAATCTTAAAATTACTTAGCCAGTTGGCAAAAAACTGAGGAATGTGGACTAGAAAGATAAAATATACTCTCTGGGAAGATACATAGGTGTGAGGGAATTTTGTACCTACAAATTTGTACCTATAACCTCTTCTCATGAACATTACCAGATAATCACAAAAACCGTTGCTATTTACAGCACACAAAACCCTACCCAGATCCTTTCCCACTCCTCCTTATGTAACAAACGATTTTAAATCTCATGGTAAGGGTAACAAATACTGTCATCTTTGGGTACTGTGTTCATACATATTATCTGGGAGGAGAAAACTGTTTTAAAAAATCCCAAGTCTGTTACTACTTGGAGAAGAGCAGGAATTACACGTTGGAATCAGGTGCTTAGTTGTTGACACTAGAGCACTGAGAAGGCCTCATGTCTGAGAACCAGGGACATGGTGTGTGACCAAGATTGAGGAATTAATCAGAACCACAGAGGTTACCTCTGTCTCTCCCAAACAGCCTAAAATTCACGAGTAAAAGGATTTATTTGAAGAATACAGAGTTCAGAGACCTTCCCTGGGGGATAGTATAAGGGGAAGACATATAGTTGAGACATAAAATTGGCCCCATCCTAAACGGTAATATGGAAGGATCTGAAGCCTGTGGTACCATGGAGGTAAGAAGAGCAAAAATAAACCCAGTACCAACTCAATACCTAAACTTATTGGATCAACACCCCCACCAAAAAACCTCATATATATTATATATACATATATATGTGTGTGTATGTATGTACACACACACATACACACACACACACACACACACACACACAAGAGCTAGACCCTGGACTTTTTTTAGTCAATGCATAGGAACTATTTGCTTTTACCCTTACTAACCTAGATAAGATCTCCACCTCTCAACCAGAGAGTTCCAACACACGTGTGTATATATGAATACGCAGAGAGAAAAACCCCACAGATATCGTCAAAACCATTTATGTAACCAGTCTAATATAATAAAGATGTTGGGTCTATCAGATAAAAAGTTTCAGAAGTAAGATTAATAAGTTCAAGGATCAATGAGAAAGAAAAGGCTATGCATGTTCAGATGGGTAGTTTCAAAGAGAAATTGTAAGAAAATGTCAAACAGAATATGACAAATGAAAACAATAAAAATGGAGGTTGCCCCTGATGAGCTCTTTCTAGAGTAATAGGAATTAAGGACTTGAAGACAGGCCAATAGAAACTGCCAAAACGGAAACAGAGAAATTTCTTAAAACAAAAGTAACACAAAACAAATAAAAAAATCAAAGATCCAAGAACTGTCTGACAATATCGAATAATCTAACATATGTGTGATTAAAATGCTACAACAGAGAATTGAGCAAAAGAAGTGGTAGTTGAGATTCTGACATTGGTCACTCATACCAAACCAAAGACCAAGAAACACAAAGAACAACAAAGTAAATACCAAGCACAACACTCACACTCACACTCACACACTTACACACACACATACACATTCATTCTCATACACACTCAAACACTTACACATACACTCACACATACTCACCTATATTCATGGCATATACAAAATACCAAAAACCAAAGACAGGGAAAATCTTGAAGGCAGGCAGAGAATACGAGATATACTATGGAAGAACAATGATTAAAATTCTTAGCGGTTTGGCTAGCGCGATGGCTCACTGGTTAAGAGCACTGACAGTTCTTGCAGAGGACCTGGGTTCAATTCCCTGCACCCACATAGCAGCTAACAACCATCCATAACTCCAGTTCCAGGGGGATATGACACCCTTGTCTGACCTCTGCAGGCATTGCATGCATGACATGGGTGTACTTGCACACATGCAGGTAATACACTCATATACGTAAAAAATAAATAAATAAAAAAGTTCTTAGCGGTTACAAGTTTTTGACATTTTTCAAGTGACAGAAGACAAAATTTGTCAACCAAAACTTTAATGTCCACCAAAAAGACTTTTCAAAATCAAGAGATTAAAAAAATGTCTGAGACAGAATTCATTTGCATTATAAGAAATAATGAAGTTTTCCAGGCAGAAGTGTTATTAGTCAGAAACTTGGATCTGCACAAACAAATGAGTGCTTCTGTGCCAGGGAGACAGCTCTGTTGGAAAGCATCTGCTGCAAAAGCAGGAGGACCCAAGTTCGGTCCCCAGAACACACATAAAAAAGGTGCAGTGGCATGTCCTTGTAATTCAAGGACTGAGGAGGAAGAGATAGGCAGATCCCAGGGGCTCTGGCCCACTTGGTGAGTGCCAGGTCAGCGAGACACCCTATCTCAGAAAACAAGGCAGGCAGCATCTGAAGAATGGCACACATGGCTTACCTCTGGCTTCCACACACATGCACACACACACATAAGAAATGAGTACTAGAAGTTAAGAAAAAGATAACTACCTGAAGGAAAAACTCACAATGGTTCACATTTTTTAGCACACAAAAACTAAAAGATTTGAAACTATAGCAAAAAGCAGAAGAGGAAATTGGGAAAATACTTCATAAGATTTTCATATTACATATAGAATGGCATAGCATTATCTGAAAGCATTTTTATATTTATTTAAGAATTATTAATTTATTATTAAAAGATTTATTTTCTGTGTGTTTGAGTGCTTATATGTATGTATGTGCTCCATGTGTGTTTCTAGTGCCCACAGAGGCATTTTAAAGAGGGCGTTGGATCCCCTAGAACAGGAATTATAGGTGGTTGTGAGGTGCCTGATGTAGGTGTTGAGAACTAAATCCAGATCCTCTGTAAGAGCAGCAAGTTCTCTTAATGGCTAAATCATCTCTTTAGCCAAAATTAATTTATTTCTGAGACAAGGGCTCTCCATGTAGCCCAGGCTGGCCTTGAACTTGTGATCCACCTACAGTCTTCTGAATGCTAGAATTACAGACGTGCCACCAATGCCTGGATGAAAGTAGAATCTTTTTTAAAAAATTAATTAATTTTAAAAGCTGTTGGATCCCCTGGGACTGGAGTTACGGACAGTTGTTAGCTGCCATGTGGGTGCTGGGATTCGAACCCGGGTCTTCTGCAAGAACAACCAGTGTTCTTAACCGCTGAGCCATCTCTCTAGCCCCAGAAAGTAGAACCTTTTATTAAGACATATATTGAAAAACCTAAGGAAAGCACACAAAAACTTAAACAGGTATATGTAGTAAATAGTAAGGATAAAACAGGATCAAGCCGGGTGCAGTGGTGCATGACTTTAATCCCAGCACTCGGGAGGCAGAGGCAGGCAGATCTCTGTGAGTTTGAGTCCAGCCTGGTCTCCATGGTGAATCCAGGACAGCTGGGGCTACAGGGAAACTCTGTCTCAAAAAGACCAAAACAAACAAACAAACAAACAAACAAACAAACAAAACCCCCAAAAATCCAAAAACCAAAAACAACAACCCCCCCCATGATCAAATGTAAATTAATCTCAAAAAGGCAAAACATAATTAAAAATAAAAATAGATGAAAAATACAACACGGCAAGATGGTAGGTATTTAATGCAATTGCACCAATAATTATATTGAATGTAGTCATTTAAAGACAGATTTGCAAACTACTTAAAAGCAAATACAACTACATGATGTTGTACCTAAATTTTAAAAAATGAGGAAAATGTTAAAAATAAAAAAATGGAAAATATATACTATGAAAATCTTAA